AGGACCACCCTCCCTGGGGGCTCGAGGCACAAAAATCCACCCCACTCCCAACATTCCAGCCAGGTGTAGATGGAAAAACTCTTACAGCTGCTTGACCCGCTGCCCGTGGGTGAGGCCGGAGCCCTCCACCACGAACACGCAGTTGCTCAGGGGCACTTCGAGGGGGTTCACCATGCTGATCTCCGCCACCAGCTTCCGATTCTGCATCGGCTCTCCTAAAATCTGCAAGTAGGAGAAGTTGGACCCCCAGCACCCACCATTCCTGGGGGCCACGACACTCCCCCTGCTCTGGGCTTAATGGGACAGACGCAGGTCCCAGGGGGTGCAGCCCTGCCCCCCAAAACCAGCCTGAGCTGGGACACTGGAGCCTCACCCTGATCTTGATTGGCGGATTCTCGACATAGACATCCCTGACAGCCACCATGACGTCGCCGGTGTGGTGATCAGTCAGGAGAGCCACCACCTTGATGAGGTTGTCCTGGGTCAGGTTGTCCTTGTACTGCTCGTACAGGATGCGCATGGGCACCCTCTTCTCTGGAAGGGGAAGCAGAGCAGGGTCAGCACCCCCAGCACCCCCAGCCCTGTGCTGGCACCCGCCTGCTGCTGGGATGGTTTGGGCTCCCCAGGAGCTTCTCGAGGCTCCTTGCAAGGAGAAGGGAGCTGGGGCCCCTGCAGGATTGGGACTCCAAACCCAGGTGCCAGAAGGGATGCTGAGGGTGTGAGAAGGAGAAGGAGCCGTGTCCCACGGCACGACCCCAGGATTGTGCCTGCACCAGGATCCCAGAGGGACTTTGGCAGCCAATGTGGGCAGCAGGAGACAGCCTGGCTCCCTGGCAGCTGCCTTCCCTCAGCCCTTAGCTGTTGTTTATCCCAAAGTCCTTGGGGGATGGAGCTGTCTGGAGTTGAGGGGGAAGGAGGCTGAAAGCAATCAGCTGCAGAGCTGCCTTGGGCAAGGACCCCTGAGCGACTGTGACCATGGGAAGCGGAGCCTGACATTCCAGGGGCAGGACACGAACTGCCGTAGCATCACATGAGGCCAGGGGGAGAGGAACAAGCCTGGCTCCCCACATCAGCACAGAGCACTGAGGGTGCCCTAAAGGATGCAGCCTGGGGAATCCTGGGGTCTGTATTCTGAGACAGCAGCTGGGGGCAGAAGCTTCAGGAGCTCATATTTAAAGCTTCAGAGAAAATGATGTTGGGTTAACTTTTGGACAGGAACGTTAAGGACCCCAAAGGCCAGCAGTGCTCCTCTAGCAGGGTGGGCACACGTGGCCCCCCCACCTCCCTGTCCCCATCCAGCCCTGCAAAAGGCTCTGAGCAGGCGCTGGTGTCTCTGCCAGCACGAGCAGGGGCACGTCCCACCCCCCTCCACGGTGTGGAGAGCCGAGAGCCGGCCCATTCCTCATTCCTGTAGCACAGCTCAAGGCCTGGCAGAGTGTGCTACGGGCCGGTGAGGGGCAGGGCTTGGCGCAGGGTAAACATCTGGCTGTTCCAGGACAGCAGATGTGTGGCCTTTCCAAGCCCCGAAGGGTTCCTGGCAAGCTCACGTAAACCCAAACTCGTGTTTAATGAGCAGATGATGGTGTTCACGTGTGACAGGGGCGAGGGAAGTTCGGGGGGCCGTGCCAGGACAGCTCCGTGGCTGAGCGCCGGGGGACATCGCGCCCACCCAGGGAGACACCAAGAGCTGCTGGCCAGTAAACCCAGTGCTGCCCACTTCCTCCGAGCTGGGACTGTGTGCTTGGGGCTGACCTGGGCCTGTCCCTCTCTCCCTGCAGTGGGAAGATTCCCCCTAGCCTTGAGGAGTGTGGGAAAGCAGGAGGGATGCAGAGAAGTGCCATGGAGTGCCTGGGGGATGCGCCCAGCTCGCTCCCTCAGCACAACAGTGGCAGTGGCTTCTCCAGCTCCAAATGCATTTCCAGCTTCTGCCTCAGCAACTTCCTCATCCTCTCATAAAGGTTAAAAATCCACAGTGGTAGATAGCTAAGGGGGATGTCCCCGAGGGGCACAGCATTCTGCTGACCCCACACCCAGCAGAGCAGCCCCCTCACTGCAGGTGGGTCCCTTACCTGACCGGGGCTCGAGGTCAATGTCGATCAAGTCCGTGAGGCCGCACTGGGGCCCGGTGGTGCCGTTGTAGCTGGTGGTGCGGGCGCACAGCCTGACGCTGCACACGCGTTCCACGTCCGTGTTGTTGTTGACGACGGCGAAGACATCGAAGTCAGAGCCCTTGTTTGCACCCTCTGACACCTTGATCTTGAGGTGCAACGCCTCATCCTCCTCCGGGACGGACTTCTTCTCGTGCTCTGCCTTCGCAAACACCTTCCGCTCCTCCTCAGACCCTGCGGTGCACGAAATTCCCGTGATTCCCAGGGATGTGGGGAGGGCGCGGTCCAGGCTGTTCTGCCCTGAACCCTGGAGCCCTCCTGCTGCGGTTGTTTCCCAACAGCCACCTCCCCCTCTGGGTGTCTCTGCATCCCCCGGCAGCCCCCCGTACCCTCTGGATATTTGTAGTTGTGGGTGATGTCCTCCCGGCTGTCCTTGCCCACGCTCTTGGTGCTGATGTTCTTCCCCACCACGGAGGACTGGATGCTCTGCTTCCGCATCCCATCGCCCTGCACCACCCAGTACACCACGTCGGCGTTCACCTCCGCGAAGATGAAGGGGATGTCGTACTTCAGCTGCATGTCGCCCTCTTTGATGGCTTTGACGGGGGCCGGCCCGCAGCAGAAAACTCCTGCAGGGAGCAGAGCCACTGTCACCACCCCCGGGGTTCAGCCACTGTGGTGGCCAGAGGTGGTTGTGGTGGCCCTGCCGTGCCAGACGAAGTGTGGTGCACCTTGTACCTTCGCTCTTCTCCTGGGGCGTCGGATCCAGCACCTGCCACCCGTCGTAGTCACCCGCCAGGTCTGGGCGGGCCATCCAGGACTCCACCCAGCAGTGGAAGTTCCTGCAAGGGAAGCCAGATTGCAGAAGCCTCAGCCTCTCGCCCAGGACCCACCAGGCTCTGGGGCAGGGGCAGAGGCAGCCCCAGGGATGGGCAGGCTGGGGTCCCGCCCTGCTGCTCACCAGATCTTGTCCCAGGACTGCCGCTCCTGCCCCCCCGTCTCGTTGAGGTAGTGGTCGATGGTCAGGTTGGCATTTGTGTCGTGGGCCGAGTTGTAGTTGGTCACCACCCGGGTGGGGATTCCCAGGCACCGCATGACTGTGGGGAGCAGGGCAGGGTGACACAGGGGCCCGGATTTGCACCACTCCTGTCCCACAGGGCCCCAGGTTTGCACAGCCCCTGTCCTGTGGATCCCCAGCCCTGCGTGACTCCCGCCCTTCCCGCTCCCTGCCAAAGGGGTGCCCAGGGACCGATGCCCTGGAGGGGCTGGTTCCCACACCCGCTGTGCACGGGCGAGCCGGGTGGCACACGGCTCTGACAGCCTGACGGGTTTGATACTGCAGCAGAAAAAAAAGGCACAAAAGCGCCTGTGAGAGCTTTGGAGGGAGAGCGTGGGCAGCCGTGCTGAACCCCGGATTTCATCTCCCAGCTGTCTTTCACTGCTCACGGAGCTCCCCGGGGAGCAGGGAGGCAGTTACAGCGCTTCAAAGGAAGGCTATAAAACTCTGCGAGTCACTGAATATCCACTTTAGCTTTCTCCTATTTCTCTCCTCTAAAAAGGGTCTCGTATGTCTGTGAAACATCAGAAACACAGAGGCAGCATTTTTTTCTTGAGGCAAAGCAGCACGAGCAAGTGTGAGTGTTTCCCAGCAGCAGCCAGTCTGGAATTTTTTGCCTCTTTTTCCCCAGCCTGCCTGACCCGGTGGCTGTGACATTAATTTGATCTCGGTGGATTTGTGACTTTATTGCAAACTTGGCCTTAAAGCCACTTCCCTCCCCCTGTCCTGCCCCAGCCCCTCCCTTGCTGCATGGCCAGGCAGGCAGCGCTGATGGAAAAACCAGAGCCCTTTTCTATGATTTTTTCCCTCTATTTCCTGACAAATTAGAATAACAGAGAGCTAATTGCAAGGGAATCGTTGCAGGCTGATTGCAACCAGCCCCAGCTCTTCCCTCTGGACACAGCACCGGGAGTGGGTGGAGGGCAGGGGGCCAGGGTGGGAGATGGCAGGGACACGGGTGACCCCATCCTGTGGGGAAGGGGAGACCAGAGACATCTGCTCTCACCAGTACATGCCACAGCAGCAAAGACCCAGCACTGGCCGTACTTGACTGGCTGGCACCCAAAATCCTTCCACCTCTTGAGAATATCCACACTCCCAATCCAGGACATGGGGTTCGTGCCATCGTCGTAGGGGTCGTTCCACCGCCCCGCCAGCACCCCCCGGTCCTCGTCGTTACAGTTTACCTGTGGCAGGAGAAGAGAGGATGGATGGGAGGATGGATGGATGGATGGATGGATGGACAGGCATGAGCAGGCTGGGGAGGGACAGAAACAGCTTTGGCCCCATTCACATGCCTGTCATCCAAATTAGCATCCTGTATCCATGCAAGAGCTCACTGGGATGCAGTGCTAATCAGGGATGAATTTTAGAAACAAGGCCTGGGAATTTGAGTGTGATTATCCCAGAGTTGCTCCTGGGATGGTCTGGGACTACCCCTGCTATTCCTCTCCTCTTAAAAGGCTCTTATACATAGAGGAGCAATAACAGGAAAGGATGTAAAGGGGAGGAGGAACACCACAGAGAAGGAAAATGGCCTGAGTGGGGGGGATGGCAAATGCCAGGTCTCTGTCATAGCTGTAGCTGGGGGGTGTTCACACCCCAGGGAGTGTGGGGTGCTGGGGACACCCTGCCAGGTGCACCCCGGACTCACCATGGCGCTCACCACCCTGCCGATGTACACGGGGTCATTGCGGCGGGAGCAGTCCCGGTTCTGGTCTCTCAGGTGCTTGGGGTTTATGTCCAGCATGTTGAGGCAGATGGATAGGATGTCATCCTCGAACTGGTGGACAAAAGGCATGTGAGGTCCCCACGGGGGGCTCTGGCACATCTCTCCTCCCTCCCTGGCTCACCAGGATGCCCCTGCAAGCAGAACTGCTGGGGACATGGGGTCACACCTTCCCAGGGTCCCCTCCCCAGCCAGCACCCACTGAGTGATGTCCCCACTCAGCCTGCAAAGCCCGTGGATGAGCTCTCGCCCTCACGCCGGGGCTGGATCCGGCTTCCTGCAGCTGCCCAGGGGTCGTGCATGGAGCTGACCTCTGCGAAAACCACCTATTTCCCATCACAGCTGAGTCACAGCCCTTCCTTGAATTGAGGCGTGGATCCTGTGGGGGTCACAGGATCCGTGCCCTCGCTCAGGGAGTGTGGCTGAGCTCCCCCAAGGCAGGCACTGCCTTATCGGCACCCCCAGCACGGCACCGGGGAGCGCGTTATCAGGCAACGGCTCCGTGGCACAGCAGGGCCACTCTGACTGGGGGCACGTAGCTGTGGGGCCCCCAGGAGCCATGTGGGACCCCTCCCCTCGCCCTGCCCTGCTTTGAAGTCAGCACATTCCCTCTTGGAAACGAGATTCCGGTTTCTTTGACCCACATCTGCACCCTGAGGTGCCGACAGCTTTTGGGGTGCATGTTTGGGGGGGCACACACATGATACCCGTCCCTGAGCCCCTGCAGCACTGTGGCTGCACAGGCTGGGGTCAGCTGGGAGTCCCAAGCGTCCCAGGGGGCCATGCCCACTCACCTGGCCAAAGTTCCAGGGGACAGAGAAGATGTAGTTGGAGGTGCCCTGGTAGATGAGCCCTTGCTGGGACAGCACATACTCGCGGCGCTCGTTCTCGTCACGGAGGAAAACCGTGTCCTCTGTTGGGAGAGCAAGTGATGGGGACAGGGCTCTGCCCCATGCCACCAGCCCCCCGACCCCCTCAGGGCTACCCCTCCCTGGGCATGCATCCGGTGGGAAATGAGGCAACAGGGGCTGGAACCGCTCCCGCCTGAAAAAACTGCTGGAGAATTTCAGCCCATTCAGAATTTGATTTGAGCTGATGGGAAACTTTCAGCGGGTTTGTGGTTTGCTCTTCTTCATTCTTTCTCGTTTCTCTGTCTTTCCTCCCTTTTATTTGATGGAGTTGGGTCTTTTCCCAGGAGGGGAGACCTCCTTGGGGGAGCAGTGAGCAGTGGCAGCTGGAGCCATTTCACTCACAGCAGCTACTGCTGTGAAAATCAGTATTTACTGGAAATGTTTGCAGAAGGAAACCCCAGATATCCATTCCCAGTGCTCGGGTTGAGCAGAGCTTCCTACAGCTCCTTATCTCTGTGGACCCAGTGTGGAGCATTTGAGATCCAGGAAACCAGCCAGTCCAGGGGCAGGGGAGGGACGTGGCAAGAGGAAAATCCCAGGGCTGTTAAACCTTGCAGCACTGAGCTGAGCCTCCCCTCTAGGTCCAGTTTACCAACAGAGTGACATCCCTGTCACTGAGACCTCAGCTGGGTGCCTGGGTGGGGATGGGCCAGATGGGGACAATTAGGGACAACTGGGGGTAAGTAGGTGTGTGTCCTAGGGTGGGTGACAGTGCTTGTGGTCCCCGACCTACTGAAGAGATTGAGTGGAAATGGAAGCAGAGTGGGGATTTCTGGTTAGACCTGAGCTCAGGGCAGGGCTCGGGGCACTTGGAGTCTGCAGTGGGGTGAGACCTGCAGGGATGTGCAGCCCCTCAGAGCTGAGGGGTGGCTCATGCTCACCTAAACCCAGGAACCCCTGGGCTCAGGAAGGCAAAGCCTCACCTGGGTGCCAGGCGTTGAAGAGCAGGATGAAGTGGCCGATGTGGAAGCTGGAGCCCTGGTACTCGGTGCAGGTCTCCAGGGTCAGGGAGTAGCGGCCGATGCGGGCGCTGGGAGGGGAGCAGAGCGACACAGAAAGGGACTCCCCGTCCTGCTGCTGCATCACGGCGCTCCAGCTCGACTCCTCCGGGTAGTCAGTCATGGCAAAGTGGGACCTGGTTCCTGACGTCTCACTGGGGCAGGGCCCTGTCAGGAAGGAGGGGGTCAGCTCTCTCAGTGCTCTGGGGACCCTGGGAGCTCCTGGCGTGGGGGCTGCACTGAGAGGACCTGCCTCAAGCCCCCTGTTCTGCAGCAGCTGCCTGAACCTTGGCTGGCACAACCTGGGAGCATTCACTGTGTGGTTTTTCAGGTACTGGGAACACAGGGCAGCCCAGCTGTGGGGGGCTCAGGCACATCTCTCACTGTTTGGGGCAGGACAGACTCACTCTATGGGCACCTCTGGGCCAGCAGAGCACGAGGGGTGCTTGCCCTGGTGCCCAACCCAGGGCCAGGTCTCTCCTCTCAGCTGCACCCATTCCTCTGCTCCAAGCAGAGCTGCCGAGTCCCTGTGCCCTCACAGCCCAGGGCGTGGGGGGTTGGCAGAGCCCAGCCATGAACCCCAGACCCCCATCACTGGCAGCCCCACGACGTGTGTGCAGCCTCAGGCGTTGCTGCAAACATCCCAGGATTAGAGATGACCTCAGTGGCCAAAGCGCCGAGCCCAGGACAGCGTGATCCCTGCCGGCCCTTCCAAGTGCAGCCATGGCCAAGCCACCTGCACTGAGCCAGCTCCAGACCTGCTCCCTGGAGCGGTGACACCCAGCCTGGCCCAGCAGCTCCCTGGCCCTGGCTGGCAGCCAGGGCAGTGGTGCCACTGCCATCCACTCTCCCCCACCAGAGCACAGCCCTGGCTGGTCCCCTGCCAGCCCTCGCCCACAGTGTGGGCAGGGTGTCAGACCAGTCACCAAAAATACTCGTGAACTCATGAGAGTGACACAGTTTCTCCTCCCGGGGAGGCTGGGCTGAGCTCACAGTGTCCTTTTGGCAAGGGCCAGCCTGGTGCTGCTGTAGGACGGGCAGCCATGGGAGCCTCCTCCTATTCCTCCTCCTCCTCCTCCTTCTCCTCCTCCTCCTCCTGCCTCCACAGCCCACAGCATCCCTCCGGACTCCAGAGCTCTGCTAACACGGCTGCTGCAAAAACACAGCTCTATTCTCACTCTATTCTTCATCCTCTCTTTCTCGTGGGAGGTGGCACACAGCCTCGATGGCTTGTCCCAGGGTGGGGGGACAGTCCCTGCCTTGACAGGGCTGCGGGTCCCCTATGAGGAATGTGCCAGGGCCATTGCCAGTGGGGTGGCACTGTCACGAGCCTCTCTGCAAGCACCAAAGCACCTCTGCCCTCTTTCTTCAAGAGCTGCAGCCCAGAGGAGCCTCTGCCAGCCTGAGCTTTGGCCTGGAGGCTGTGCCCAGGGCTGCTCCTCCAGAAAAATCACCCTGGGAATGCCTGGCTGGAGCATGGCCTGAAGAAACCCGGGGGGTGGGAGTGGGTGGGCAGCCCCTGTGGGACTGCCAGGGCACGGGGAGAGCTGATTGTTTAGGGTGAAGCTGAGGTGTTCCAGGTTTGGGTTTGCCACCAGAGCTTTTGGTGTGGAAAAAAAGAGAGTCTGCAAGGAAACCTGGATGCAGTTGTAGTTTGAATTCTGGCTGGGTTGACTCAGCAGGACGCTGCAGACCCAAAATAGCTCTCGCCTGAGAAAGAGTTTCCTCTCCCTTTGCTCTGAGCTGGCAGGGCCGAGCCCCTGCCCGGCAGCTGCACCCAGCCCTGGCAGCAGGAGAAGTGGCCACATCCCTGGTCCTGCCTGGGGCTGTGCTAGGGGTGCTCCCTGGGAACATCTCTCCAGTGTTTGCACTTCCCAAGCAAACCCCTCTCTGGGGGATGTCTGAGAGGCAGCAGGGCTGGCTGTAAAGCCCATCAGCAGAACTGCTGGGATTCCTCTGGCTGAAAAAAAAATTCACTTTGCTGATGTTTCCCAGAGGGCTGGGCAGGTTCTCAGCCGCAGCCAAGGCACTTCCAGGTGAGCTGGCAGCTCTGGTGTGCCCCAGGTTGGGCTCAGCCATGGGAGGAGGAGGGACAGGTGGTGGCAGCCCTTTGTTTTATTTCTTTATTGCTTCCCTTGCACTCCCATTAAGGAGATGAGTTTCTGCCTATTTTTCTTATTGTGACACAAAAGCTGTGCACAGCGCCAGCCTCTGCCAGGCAGGAACAGGAGGACAGGGACTGTATGAGATGAGTTAGGTCCCCTCGGCACAGCCCCTGCGGGAGCACAGGTGAGCCCTAGGGCAGGGGCAGAGGGTGGTGACACCTGCACAGCCCTCCCTCGTGGCACAGTTGGGGGGATCACTCACCTGTCTCCACGTTGAAGGCGAGTTTGTCCACCCCCTCCTCGTAGCCCCGGCCTGAGAAGCGCAGGGTGATGGTGAAGGGCTGTCCCCGCCGCACCACCAGCTGCTTGCACCCCATGTCTGCCGTCCGGTGCTCCCGCCCATTGCGCTCCAGCTGCAGGTCCCACGTGTCCAGCACCAGATCTGTGAAGGCAGTGGCACGTAAAGCTCTGACCCTGGGACCAGCTGAGCCATGACACACAGCCCCTGGGGGCTACAGCCCACCCTGAGCCCTGGGTTGGCACTTTGGAGAGGGATCTGAGCCTCCCCTGCCCACACTGCCCTGTCCTGCCCGGTGTGCCCGGTGCAGCCCTGAGCACTGTGGTCGTGCCGAGCTCTGAGCATCCTTCCAGGAGGGCTCTGCAGGCTGGGCTTGCATCGTGTGCTGCCAGAGGGGCACAGCTTTGGCAGCCGAGCTCACAGCGACGTTCTGCCTTCCTGGCCCAGCTTTGTGCTGTGTTTGTGTGCCGTGGAGCTGCCTCCACGCTATCACCACAGAGCAGGGGGACCCTGTGCTGCCATAGCTGTGCCAGGCCCATGGCTCAGGGCACCCAGCACAGGAGCAAAGGCCAGTGCTCAGCTCTGTGCTTGGGGGGGCTGTCACCAGGGCTGCTGTCTGTGTGCCCCCATCCCAATCACACGCTGCTGAGCCCAGGAATGCCTGGGATGTTCCTGTGCCTCAGCCAGGCCTCCAGCAGCTTTGCTGTGCTGCGACCGCTGACAAACTGGTGAGAGCAAGTGTAAGTCCAGTGACAGAGGTGTGTGATGCCCCAGACGTACGCAGGCTGCCCTGCTCTGATCCCAGCCCAGGCAGGGCCATGTCCTCCCCGCCCCGGGCGCCGCTTGCTCGGGAGCGATGAGATATCTCTCATCATCGCCTGGGGCCAGTGACCCCTGACTGCTCTGCAGTGACGCATTAATCACCAGAATAAGCAAAAGCATTCCATGCAGGAGAGCACACAGCAAGCTCAGTGCCAGCCAGGGACTGGGGTGGCTCAGTGGGCGATGCTCGGCTTGCAGCCCCATGCCACGGCTCTCCCTGGCCGTGCCCTTCCCTGGGAGTCACAGAGCCCTTCTGGAACCACCGCAAAATGGAAACAGTTGCCCATGAGCTTGCTGTTCCCAGAGCTAAATGAAAGCACTGCTCCTGGCTCTCTGGAGAAGGGGGCTCTGCAGTATGTGCCCAGTGGAGGGCAGTGGGTTTGTCACCATCCCCACCACGCTGCTAGAGCTGCTGGGACTGTCCATAACTAAGGGCACGGTCCCTGCAGCCAGTCCATGGGGAGTGTGGACAGAGCACAGAAAGGTCCCTTCCCTCACTGCCTCCCCCTCTGTGACCAGCACAGCTCTGTGCTACAGCTCACGGACCACACGAGTGGAACCTCCCCGACATGGAGCCAAAGGCGTTGTGAGTAAGTGTGTTCAGAGAGCAGGACCAGGACTCCTCCTTGCCCCAGTCACCCCAGGGTTATCATCCTCAGCACATTTAGCAAACAGCAGATTTCTCAAAGCACAGGTGCCTCTACCCAAACGGATGGGCGGCAAGAGACGTGCGGGTAGGGGGCTGCGGTGCTGCAAGCAGAAGGGGGGTTCTGGGCACCCGGGAGCAGGAGCTGCCCAGTGTGTTGGTATTGCTGTGGTGGTGCTGGGAGCCGGGATAGCCTGCGGCACTGTGGGACAGCAGGGTACAGTGATGCCGTCTCACCCAGAGGGCTCCGTGCCCGTGAGTATCACACGGTCCCATTTCCTAGGATTCTGGGGGCAGCTCTGTGGGAGGCGGGGGCTCTCTCTGCCCTGAAGGGCTAGGCGTGAAGAATTCCCGAAGACCAGAAGCTTTACTTATGCTTGAGCCTCCAGAAATCCCCTAACCCTGTCAGGACGTGGGCACACGCTCCTGGCCCAGCCGTCCACTTTCCCGGGGAAGCTTTAAATAGCACCAAACTTCACTCCGACGGGTACTGGCGTCACCCGGGCCAGCGGAGAGGCAGGAGGGAGGGAACGGCGCAGACCCGCGTGGACCCCGCACCGACCCCGCCGGGCTTGTTGCCGTCTCCCCGGTCTAGTCCTTCCCGTTCCCCATCGCCCTTGACTCGGTCTGAGGGTCGGGGAGCGGCTCTTGCGCCCAGCGAGCAGGGAGCGGCGGGAGCGGAGGAGGCGGCGCGGCCGGTCGGGACTTCCCTCGGAGCGGGAGCGATCCCGACACGTGCGGGGGGGATCGCCCCGCGGTCCTACCTTCGGCCATGGTGCCGGCGGGTGCGGGTGCTGCCGGTGCCGGTCTCGGTCCCGGTCTCGGTCCCGGTACCTGTCCTGTCCCACTGGCAGCGCTGCCGGTGCCGCTCCTTGTCCTGGTCCCGACGCCGGCGGAGCTGCCCCCTCACCACCCTCCGACCGGCCCCACCGCCCATCCCATTTTATCCCGCCCGCCCCCCGCGCCCCCCCGCGAGGCCGGGCCGGCGGAGGGAAGAAAGGGAAAACAAAGTTTCCAGGAAACGCGGCGGTTTGAGGTCCCACCTATTGAAAATAACCACTCCAAAAAAAAAAAAAAAAAAAAAAAAAAGGGGCGGAGGGGGGGGGAAGCCGCTGCCCCCCCCCCGAGTTCCCCGGGACCCCACAGCCTTCGGGCAGGATCTGGCCCCACTGCTGATCAAGAGGAGGGGAGAACTAGGGGGCGGAGAGGGGCCGCTCGGCTCCCAGTGAGGTGCCAGGACTCGGGAATGTTTTCTCCTTATAAAGTTCTCTCCCTCCTCTGGCCCCGTCTCCATCCTGGCCGGTCCTGGTGGGATGCCTCTGTCGGGAATCGCATCCCCCTTCCCGCAACTGCATCCCCGAGAGATGGAGTCTGGGGGGAAAATGTGTTGAAAACTTTGCTGCTGGACAGCAGATATGTTGGAAACTGGAGCTGTTGGATCTGGGACGTGAGAATGTGCATGTGGCAGTGATTGGCACATTCCCTGGCAGTCCCTGCCCCATCCTTCTCCTGCCTGGGGCTCCCTGCCCCGTTACCTTGCTAGTGGTGCTGCCTGGGGCTGCTTGGCCTGGCCTAGCCCTCCTTGTGTGTCCCAGGGGTCAGCCAGCACACCAGAAACCACCTATCAAGGGCAGGGGGCTGAGACCCCTCATCTCCACAGGCTCTTGGAGTTTGGAAGTGCACTGGTACCTGAGCATGGCTTGTTATGAACAAGGTCTTGAGAAGTTTCTGGACCTCTGGAGGGACTTTGTTCAGTTACTGGTTTTCCTTTGTGTAAGTTAAGCTGCCCAAGGCCAGGATCCAGGAAAGATCCACTGAACCTCCTCGTTTGGGCCTCGGACTGGTGTGGGACACTGCAGCCCCTGCACTGGAGGCATCTGCACATTGGGAATCCTCCTCACCCAGACCCCTCACCCCCTTCCCCTCACAGGTTTGGTGGTTGGTGCATCAGCTCCAGGGCTGCTGTGGGTGATGGGACCTTCTTGTGGTGGTGATGTCCTGCAAACGGTTGGGGTCCATTACTTGGTGTACTCAGGATCACCCCACAGGGCCCCCACACAGGTTGTGCCCTGTCCCAGTGTGCCCCATCACCCAAACACGTGGTGCAGCTGAAACTGCTCTCCCCAAGCTTGGGGAGGTCCTGGCAAGGGGTTCCCCAAAAGTGGGCAATGCTTTCTGCTTGGGCATGCTGGGGCACCGTGCTGGGAGGGTCTGCGATGAGACAGACACCTCCTCCAGCTCTGCAAAGGGGGTTTTGGTACCAACAGAGCTGGCAAGGTCAGAGCACACCAAGGGCACAGACCAGGCGAAGCCCCATGAGTGGGGGGCTCCTGATGTGTCCCGCTCTGGGGGCACATGGCTGGTTTTGCAACAGCACTGCCCTGCAATGGCCGGGGGAGCCCCCTCCTCCTTCACCATCCTGAGGGAGGTGAGGAGAGAAGTTGGAGTGGGAGCAGCAAATCCTTGCTGAGAGAAAGCTCGGGACAGCTGGTTTTAATGGAAACAATTCGTGTGCTCCTCCACCGTGTACGTGCACAGGCTGGGGGTGTGCAGGTGGTGGTGGTGGGCCTTTGCTCATCTCACCTGCTTCCAGGGCTGCTCCCTGGGCAGAGGAGCCTCTGCCACCCGTGTTGACAAGTGCCAGTGTGTCTGGGCTCGTGCTGGGGGGTGCTGGGTCCGGCTCTGCCTGCACAAGCCCGCTCCTCCTTCCGTACCTAGCGCGAACTCTGGATGAACTCCCCGGCCTCCCCGGCCGAGGTGCTGCGTTGGAATGCGTCATTTGCTCTAGTTAATGTGTGACAAACTGCAAGGACACCATCGGGTGCGGAGCTGTAGGAAATGGCCATTTCTCACCCGGCTCGGAAGCGGAGCAGTTTGTTGCAGGGAAGGGTGTTGGGGTGTGTGGGATGTGTGGGACCAGGCAAGCGGGGGGGCCTGGCACTGGGCAGGCTGTGGGACTGTCTTCTGTCTGGCTTCTTGGCCAACCACAGAGCCCGAGTGACTGACAGTGCCTATCCCTGCTCTGACATCTCGGGCAGAAGTGGCAGGAGACAAGTGCCTGGCTGTCCCCTGGGGCTGTCCTCCAGTGCTGTGTTCTGGGCCTGTCCCCCAGGGTTATCCCTGTAAGTCAGTCCACTCGGGGCTGTCCTTCATGGGCTATCCAGGGAGCCTCAGACTTGGTCCCAGCACCTCAACAAGAGGAAACCTCCCTTGTTTCCAGCTTTAGTGCCCACTTCACTCACCACCACATATCACAGAGGCATCTGTCTGCCCAGGCACTGGAAAATGTTGCCCACGCCACACTGCCGGTGTTGTGTTATTTTTACTCTCCTTACTAAGACAAGGTTGCATTAAGAGGGTGTTTGCACTGCTGAGGCCCAGAATAACTCCTCATTTGCTCAAGGTGTTCAGTGCAGGGCTGCGACTTCCCTTGCCCCCACCCCGCTCCTGGAGCTGCTTCAAAGCCTGCCAGTCCCTGCTGTGCTGTCCCGCACAGGCAGAGCCGCTGTTTGCTCTCCTGGGTGTGTGCTGGGGCAGCTGCAGCCCCCCCAGTGCCCGCACATCCTGAGTCAGTCCCTTGTGCAGGCAGATAAACAACCCCTGAAAAGGGACAGTGTCTGCTCTGAGTCGCCCTGTGAAGTCGTCAACCGACTTCAACAGCTCTGCCCACCTCCTGCGGTGCCTCCCGCCCCGGGTGTTCCCCAAAGCACAGCCCGCAGCTGCTCCTGCAGCTCCCTGAAGCCAGGCAACCTGTGTTCTCATGGGTGGGGAGCTCGGCATCATCCCCCCTCTTGTAAGGGGGCAGGCAGGGCTGGGATGTGACTTTGGGAAAAGGTTAAAGGGTGAGGCAACGTCTCGTGCCCATGATGACTGGGCCAGTGGGGAGCACTTCGGGGCTGGGGGTGGGGATGCTGCAATTACCCTTCCCATGCCAGAGCTCTGATGTGTGAGCATGGAGAAATATTTCCAAGCTGTGGGGGAAAGACTTGTAGCCGCTCCATTTGCGGTTGGCTGAGCCAAAGAGCTGGGCAACCACCACAGACAGGTTCTGTAAGGGCACTGCAGCCTGGGGTGAGGGAGGATGGGGCTGGTGATGGCACCACGGGCAGTTTGGGCCAGGTGAGCCGCTGGTTTGGCACTGGCATCACTCCTAGTTTGGGACTTGGGTTGCCACAGGCAGCTCTGGCACTGAGCCAGCAGCTTGAGCAAGACGGGCTTGGTGCTGCACGGGGCTCCTGGGACGGAGGGGTTTGGAGCTGCCATAAAGGGGGGCTTGTTCCCAGCCCTAGGCAGCTGTCTGCCAGGCCAGGCACTGCAGGGAACGGGGCAGCCATTCCTTTGGGAGGAGAAAGTGGCTTTTTAAGGAAAAGCAGGTTGTCTGTCCACTTGGCCCCGCAGGAAGGCCCGGTGTGCTCTGATGTGGCAGCCACAGGGTAGACACGGCCCTGTGAGGTTGAGGCGTCCTCTGTTGGGATGTTCCAGTGGTGTCAGACACAGTCCCGGGCTCTGGCTCACTGTTCACAGCACATGCCGAGCCAGAAGCTGTTCCCGAAAAGTGCAGAGCCTGGACCAGCATGGCCTGAAGGTCCAGGCCAGCAGCTGATAAGCAGGTTCTCTGGGGAATCCTGGGGCAAGGCACCCCATCCCACTTCTGGGGGCCTCAGGAGGAATTTGTTATGTCACCATCTTTTTTCTTAGGCTGAGTCTGTGTTTTTATTCAAAAGAAATGAGAAATAAAAAACCTCTCGAAGGTCTCTTGGTTCATTTGACCTCCAAGCTTGGTGGGGGCAGGAAGGATGGGGCTTCCCTTGCAGGACTCCCCAGAAAGCCCCTGGAAGATAGGTTCTGTGTCAGACAGCAGTGATATGTGCTGGGGAGTTGGATTCTTCAGTTGTGCCAAGTGTTTCTCTGCTGGTGGCCCCAGGATGGCCACGAGGCCAGTCCCCCTGCAGCAGGGTCCCACAGCGCTCATGGGTGGGCTGCAGTGCTGCAGGATGGGCCTGTGTCCGGTGCCAGGGCAGCCAAGAGCCAAACACGATGTTTTGCAAGCTGATCTGGTTGTACCTGGTGCGAGCTGAATTCCGGCCTCTGGGCTGTCATTTCCCAGCAGTTTGTTGGAACGCCCCCAGCCCTCCCTCTCTGGGGCGCCTGTTCCCCCAGGGCACCGCTCCCCAGTAATCCCTTACTGCCCTCAGAGCATGCAGGTTCCAACGGGTCTGCAGGGGGAAACAAGAGGGGTCTGTGCTCCCCAGCTGGTGCATAGCATGTTTGTGCTCCTCTGTGAGCACACATGTCCAGATTTCGTGCCTGAAGCTGGCGATTCCCCCAGGACTCCCACGTGAGCCGCGCGTGGCCCCCGCTCAGAAGGTCTCCTGTGCCTGACTCTCCTGTCAGCAGCTTCCCAGGGGTGGGTGCCTGCCAAGCCCCAGGGCAAGCACTGGCACTCCTGTATTTTCCATCCATCCCTCGGGATGCAGCACAGCTGGGATTTTGGAAAGCAGCTGGACTGGCCTTGTCCTGGCCAGCTCAGATCAGGCTGAGTTATGTCCAGCCCTCGGAGTTTGACCCTTTGGCGTTACCCTTCAGTCTTCCTGTTTTCCTCTGGTGTTGCTGGCTCCGTTGGTTGTCCATTTCTTACAGCAGTCCTGCAGCTCCCCAGAGCACCAACAACCTTGGCTCAGTGATAGGTGAGACCTCTGTTTGCTCTGCTGGAGCCGGGGCTTGGGGATAACCAAGGGGGCATCTCTCCTCACAGCCACTTCCCAAAGCCAGGACAGAGCTGGTGGCTTTGTGCCACAGCTCTGTTCCCTCCTGCACCCAGGACTGCCTTTATATTTACCTGCTGAAACCAGAACCGCTGCTCTGGCTGCCACCCAGGAGGACAAATCCAGGCATGATGGCACTCCTGTTGTGGCATGGGCCAAATCCCTGTCC